CACCATCCAGCTTACACCAGCCATCGGTCCAGCAGCAATCGGTCCAGCAGCCATCGGCCCAGCAGCCATCGGTCCAGCAGCCATCGGCCCAGCAGCCATCGTTCCAACATGCTTCAACACCGCAGTATACAGCACATGCTTCGCAGTCGCCGCGACCGCAAGAGGCAGCATCTCTCTTTGGTAGCGACGATTCGAGTGATCTGTTCCGCTCGTCGCACGTCCCGCACCAGCCGTCGCCCGAAGCCAACGCAGTGTCGTCGCCTGCGCACGGAGCCGCCTCGCTCTTTGGCCATGCGCCGACGAGTGCATTCTCAGCGCCCAACGTTCTCGCTCAAGCACACAGCGAGCCATCGCCACCAAAGCCGATGTCGCCGCAACCGCAAGAAGCCGCGTCTTTGTTTGGTGATGACGACACGTCGTCCGCATGGGGCTTGCCCGTAGCTCCGCCGTCTCCAGCCGCGACGCCCGCTCTGGTGACCAAACCGGTCGCCTCGCCCGTGTTCAAGTCGCAGGCGTCACCGCTGCAGCGATCCGTGACGCCGCCACCAGCGCCGCATGTCGCGTCGCCTCGACCGCAAGAGGCATCGTCGCTCTTCAGTGACGCGTCCAGTCTCTTTGGCCCGTCGTCGCCCGTGTCGCAGTTTTCTGCCGCGGCCAAGTCCCCGTCGCCCGTGTCGCAGTTTGTGGCCAGGTCCCCGTCGCCGCGCCCGTTGGAGGCAGCATCGCTCTTTGGCACAGCGTCGCCTCGGCGCGACGAAGCGTTGTTTGTGACAAAGCCATCGGCACAAGAGATGCAACCCGTGCACGAGCCCGCGCCAGTGTCGTCGACCACTTCGCTCTTCTCAAACAACCCGCCATCGCGAGAGGCCGCGGCGCACTATCCGTCGTTCTCCGCAGCGTCGCCGCACGCACTTGCAAGTGGCTCGTCGCCGATGCAGCACGCGGCGCCACCGGCGTACACGCCACCGACAACGGCATCGTTTGCGCAACCTCGGACGCCGGAGCATCGGCCGACATCCAGCACGCTGCCCGGTGGGAAGCAAGGGACGTACTCGCCCGCGAAACCTGCGTACGGCCCGCCCCGTACGCCCGAACTTGGACCGACGACCAACTTGCCGACGCCGATGTACTCGTCGAATGGCCAAGCGTCGTCGAGTGTTGTGTCGCAGCCTCAAGCGCTGGGGCATTCGCCTAAGCATCTGTCGACGGCACACGCACAGCCGGCTGCGTTTGCCCCACCGGCCGCGACCGACTCGGAAGCGCGGGCGCTCGGATCGTCGTCGTGGCACCACGTCGCGCCGCCGGTGTACACACCGCCGAAAACGATGAGTGCGCCACCGCGGACACCCGAGCTTCGATCGGCGCCTCGAACGCCGGTGCGTGGTGCGCCGTCGGCGGACAGCCCGTCGTTTTCGCTGCCTGCCACGGCAGCGCCGGTGCCGCGGCCGCGCCCCAAGCTTCGACTGAACCTCGAGTCATCGATGGACAAGTTGTCAGTGGCGTCGTCGCCGTTGCACCCGGCGTTGCTGCCAACGCCGCCGCGGTCGACATCGCGCTACGTGCCCTTGTCGCCAGCCAACTCGGTGCGATCCGACTGCTCGGCGTCGACGGCGGGCGTCTACCAACTCATGACGCAGTACAAGGCGATGGCCGAGCGACTCGAGAAGGAAAAAGCCGAGCTCCTCCAGATCCTCACGCAGCAAGCCGAGCAGTTTTATGCAATGCAAGCGTACATTGAAGAGCTCCAATCGGCCCGCGACGCGCAACACTAGACAACACCCGATTCGCTGGATACACATGAACGCTTTGCATGTATTGCCACTTGATCGTTTGATACTACTGCTAAGCACATTCGGTGGCCACGGACGCAATGTGGTCCATCTATACGCTCGCCATACAGCACGCATGCACCAAAGATATCACAATGTACCTGCGCACTCAGCGCCTTGAGCTGGCCCTTGATGTCGCTCAGGTCGCGCTCCGTGGACGCCACGTTGGCTCGCGTGAGGCACTGCGCCATGCCTTGAGGGAACCACGAGTGGTCGTCCTTCTCGAGGAGTGTCTTGACATAGGCCTCGGGCCCCGTGCAGTCGGTGAGGTCTTTGGCGCGCAGGTGCACGATAAAGTAGAGGTAGTTCCACCTGTACAACTTTGATACACTCGTTTCCAAGAGAAGACAAGATGTACATGTTGTGCTCGGACGCAATGTGCTTGGCAAAGCCGTCCGAGGTGCCTTGTTCGGTGTAATGAGTGTCAAAGACATCGCGCGAGAGGCCGCAAATGAAGCATTGGTTCTTCATGAGCCGCTCCTTCTCGTTGGCTTCGGTGCGAAGCTCGCCAAACGTGTCGATCGTTATACCAAACACAATGTTGAGGAGGAGCACAATCACGAGCACAAAAAAGCTCAAGTCGAAGAAGACGCGCGCCCAGTACATGCTCCGGTTAAAGTAGTTGGGCGGGTGGTTGAGACCGTTGGTGAGGTAGTCGCCAATGCCACCGCCGCTCAAGAGACCCCGGTGCACGAAGAAGAGGAAGCAGTCCATCATCGTCGAGCAGTACGGAACGTGGTCGATCTCGTCGGTCGCGTCCGACGGCGTAAAGAAGAAGAGCACCATCGTGTAAAGTAAATCACAAAGAGGCCGAGGAGACACGTGAGCGCGAGCGCCCGCCCGGGTTTGGTCACGGCGCGCACCACATTCTGGAGCGACGGGCTCATGATGACCAGATCCAGCAAGTGGTAGCCATAAAAGATCGGGTGGTACAAGGTGGCACAGCACGCGGTGGCGAGGTACACGGTGTAGAACGCCGTGTGCTTGTCAAAGATGACGTCATAGACAAGCGTGTAGACCAGACCAAACCACGAGCAGCTCGTTTCGAGGTAGTTGCGCGTGTCACGCACGAACGGCAAGAAGAGAACGATGACTATACATACCCATGAGACAAGTTGTCCATGAAAAAGAAGACAGTCTCGTACAGGGCACTTCGGTGGGAAAATCGGGAAAGGCTTGCAGCAGCGTCAGTTGCAGGAGGAAGACGAGTAGGATCATGCGCAGCAGCGGAAGGTACGAGTGATAAATCTGGACGACGGACTCGACGAAGCCTTTGGCCGTGGACGTGAGCCCGACGAGACCGCTCTTCAGATGCTTTCCGACTTCGTCGATCTGGAGGTGGATTGCTTTCAGATCGGCGAGGTCAAATTCGAGGCTCTCGAGCTTGCGTTGCTTCTTGCTCGCGTTGTACGAGTCGAGCGAGTTCTTGATCTGCGCATTGCGGCGCGCGCGAAAGACCAGCGGGACGCTAATCACGAGCATAAACACCTACCACACCGCGATGAGATATCCTCGGTCTCCCCGATTTTCCAGATTTTGAGATTTTTCAGATTTTACCAGTACGGCGGTCGAGAGGAAGATCTGGAGCATGCCAAAGTATTGCATCGGCTGCTGGAGCCCATTCGGCTCAAAGTGGCGGTCCGTGCTCTCGTCGTTGTGCTTGAGGGCGACCAGCTACGGCAAATCCCATAAAATGCAGTAAAATACAGTGGAAGATACAGAAAATCGATCCGCACCATGATGAGGTTCATAAAGATGGCCAGGATAAAACTGAGCGTCTTGAAGAGTGGGATGTACGGTCGTATGAGGTTGTACAAGAGGAAGCGACTGAGCATCTCAATGTGCTGCATCTCCTCGTCGAGGCCACGCGCAGCTTGCACAAATTGCTTCAGGCGTTCGTTCGACTTGTAATCAAAGTCGTTGAGGAGACGCTCCTTCTTATGACCGAGGAACGCGAACATGCGGCAGTGCGAATGCAGTGGAAAATGCACTGTATCGAGGCGCGGCTCGTCCGTACCCCACCACACTTCGATCGTGCAGTGGAGGTCGTCAAAGAACTTGTACGCCTTGGCATACATCGACTTGTGCCGCCAGTTGGCCTTGGCAGCCTTGAACGCCGCCTCGCTGGCATAGTCGCCGCGGCGTGGCGCCTTGGACGTCTTGGTCGACTCGGGCACGAGCGTGTCGTCGTCGGCCTTGACCTCCCCCGACGGCCGAAAGACGCACATGGCAAGCGTAAAGAGGTTGACGCCTTCGTCCAAAAACTCTTGGTGCCACGCCATCTCCCCCTTGTGCTGGTCCTTCTCCGCATGGTATTGCTCGTAGAGCTCCTACAATCGACCTCCTCGTTAGCAAATGCAGCGCAAGATTGGGAGGTACGAGGAGTCGGTTCTTGATGGCCTTGAGCTCCAACGTACTTCGCAGACGCGCCTCCACTCGGTCGTCGCTGCGGCCTTCGAGGAGACTCACCATCGTCTTGACGGCGTTGGATTTGAGCTTCTTGACAGCGTCGGCGGTCGGAAGGTCGCGGCTCGCGTCGTCGGAGGCATCCAGCACATTGATGTGTGCTTTAAGTGTCTTGCGGAAGATCTCGACCATGACGGAGCCCGTGAGGTACTCTTGGATCGCGCTGCATGGGCCTTGCATGTACTCGGTCAAGAAAAGCCAGCACGCGTTAAGGGACCGGCAGTCGTCCGCACTCATGTGCTGAAGCTGCGCTTCGTCCTTGACAAGGATCGCAAGGTACGACGTGACCGTTTGGAGCAAATTGACGCTCACGAGGTTGCCAACATGCGATTGGTCGAGCATGACGAGCTGCATTTGGAGGTTGTGGCCTTCGGCCAGCATCTACAATGAATCCAGTTGATACGCCGAGTTCATATCGATGCATTGCTATACTGAAAGAAAGTGGATAAGCAGGTCGCCCGAGATGACCACGTTGGCGTCCGAGTGTGTGAACGCCAAGACGTTGTCCGTGGCCCTGCTGCACTCGGTGGAGCTGTCGTCTGCGGACGGCGTCGATACGGCGACGCGGGACTCGGCTATGTACTTGATCGTGCGCCGTGTCTCTTTGACCTTTTCGATCGCAGCTTGCAGAATGCGGTCGATTTGCACAAAGAATCTACCGTCCAGATGGAATAGTTGACACATTGATAGATCGATGTATACCGCTCGTCACTGGCCTGCATGCTCTCGTACAGCATGGCTTGCACGGCTGCATTGCCACCGCCGACGAGGCTGATGCCGAATTCAATAGCTTTGAGCATCGTGCCCGGGTTGTACGCATTGGCAATCAAGGTCAAGACGAGCCGCGCCGCGCCGCACCTAGAGGTATAGAAAAGCATGAAAAATGGTGGAAAATAAAAAAATAGATGTCGTACGTGGCCATAAACGTCTGTGTATTTTGGTACGTTTCTTGGGCCTCTTCGATCTCGGCACGTTGGAGCCGCAGCTTGGCGTCCTCGGACAGCGCTTTGGACGAAATCGTCCGGATGAGCATCTCGAGCGTACGGATGACACAGCCTATGGTCGGAGGGAAGACTTCAATGGATGCAAGACGATGATATATACTCGAGGTAGGGTTGTCAGCGATGAACTTCATAATGCGCGATGCCAAGAGCTGCTTGGTGATCGTGTTGGCGCGGTCGGCGCCGGCGTCCGGGCGACACTTGTCGGTCATCGCTTCGATGGTTTCCATGGCGTCGACGAGCTCTTGAAGCTCGGCGTGGACGCTTGTGGCAATGTCGGATGCCTCGAGGAGCGACCACTTGAACTGGTCGAACGAGCTCGCAGTCGCGACGGTTTCGACGAGCGTCGCATTGGGGCGCGTTCCCACGATCGCATTGCGGTGTCGAATTGACGTATTGGCCGGCGTGCAGCGCAGCGGCGGCAGCACCGGCTTCTTCTCGATCGGTAAGCCGAGCGCGATGGCACAATAGTCGCAAATCTAGTTTTCATCAATAAAAAAGCAAATGTGGCAGTGCGCCACCTCGTGCTGGGCAGGGTCAAGCTTGCCACGTTTCTTGAGCGACCGAATGTCCGACTTGAGCGCTTGGACAATGTGCACCGTGTTGTCGTCGAGATCGTCGGCCTTGGGATTATAGACGCAGCTAAAGAAGGCCGTGACGATGCTCAAATTTCCCTCAAAGACGTAGCGCGAGAGCTCGTCGAACGTGACTGAAGAGTCACCACCGGATGGCGCGTGGTCCTTGTACAAGAACGCGTTGTAGGATGCGATCTGCGTCGAGCAGTGCAAGAGGACGCTCCACATGGCGGGAAGGACGCCGATTTTCGGGTCCACGTCCAAGTCCGTGTCCAAAAACACCTCGGCGAGGAACTTGCCGGCGACGACTTTGAGCGGCAGCGGCATTTCGTCGTCCAGAAGCAGCGTCAAAATAAAGTTGAGTGGGTACAGCTGCTGGCACTCGACTTCGGTCTTGTATGTCTTGCCGCGGCACACGCAGGCGAGGAGCTCGAGCGACTACAAATGGTACCACAATTGTTTTCCGTATGTTTTGTTTCCATGTTTCAACATTCAAAATGTCACAAATGTACCTTTTGAAAGTAGATCAGTTGCGCACCGGCGTTTGGGTTGCGCACAAGGTCGAGCAGCGAGAGGTACCCGTCGGTCGTCATGAGATCGACGGACCCAACCTCCATGTGCGAGTCAATGCCGCGTCCGAACGGCAGAATCGTGTGCTCAAACTGTGGGTGCGACAGCACCGAGAAGAGATGGACCTGATTGGTTCCGTCGAGCCCACTGGCAAGATCATGATGGTAAACGTACCTGGTTGGACTTCATGGGCACTTGATCCGGGATCATGTAGTGCGTAAAGAAATTCAAGATGGTGCAAATGGTGCGAAACCCATCATCAGCGCCGGCGACGAGCTGCGCGACGAGGTCGTTGAGGAGCTTCGTCGTGGTCCAGATCGCTTCTTCCGGAATGCTCGAGCACAAGTCGCGGTTGTCGACGAAGATCGCAATGAGTACGTCGCCAATGTTTTGGAGCTCCTCTATCATCCCATTGTACAATGTGTCCTCATTTTGTCAGACAAGTTGTACCAAAGCGTGCAATCAACTCGGGCAAAAACGGAATACGAGGCGCTGGCCCATCGGGTTGCGGGCCATGAGCCGCTGGAAGAAGAGACAGCACTCGGCTTTCACCGCCAGCAAATTGGCTTTGTAGCGCGGCTCGATGAACGTCGTCGGCATGCGAAGCAGCTGCATCACGTCCAGATGCGTGTGAAGCTGAAGCAAAATGGTCTGCTTTTCTAGATTTGGCTCGCGCACCTCGGACCCGCTGAGCTTGTCGACGCAAAATTCTTGCAGTTTGCGCAGAATCTCCATCAAGAGGTGGGCGACGCCCGCATAGCCCAGCGGCACCTTGTTGACGTCCACCATTTGATCGCAGAGCGACGGTGACGCGAACGACGTCATGTAATGTCGCAGCAACGGGCCCATGTACTCCATTTCCTTGAGCACTTGAGCACTTGAAATCGTGCTGGATGCAATCCGCGCCGTCGCCACCGACGGCCGCACGAGGATGCATTGCTTAAGGTACGAGAGCACTTGGTCCTGGCGCGTGTGCAGCTGTAGCATGAGGGCGAGCGCCGCATGGACGAGCGTGTCGTCTTCGTACATCATCAAGTCCATGCAGATAGTCGCCAATGGCAGCTTCGCAATCGACCGCATGTCAAGACTGCCTTTCGCGAAGAGCTGCAAGAACGTATTGTGCTTCTTGGGTGGCGCGAGGAGCCGCGTGGACTCGTCCTTCTGGCGTTTTCCGGGCTTTTTTTTTACGCGGCGTGGCGAGGTGTCGAGGTCCTCGTCGTCTTCGATGTCGTTGGCGGCGGCGGTCGCCGTATCTTGAAACCCAACGTACTTGAAGTGCGAGAGCAGCGCGAGCACTTCGTAGTTGCGCCACACCACGTTTATGGTCTGCAAAATGTCGCAGATTTGCATTTTGCACTTGGTCAATGCATCGTTGAGCTTGTTGCGGGTGTAGCGCATCGTATCGTCGAGCGTTGCCTGCGAGCTGTTGACGAGGGCAAGCGCCGACGGACTGTAGACGGTGTTGCGCCCGTCGAGTAGCAGGAGCAGCGGCGTCAAAAGTCGCTCGATGGCCTCCATATCGGGGTAAAACCCGCAGCGAACGAGCCAATCGACGATGACGAGCTGCGCACTCAAAAACACGTTGGCGTCGACCAAGCTCAGCACGAGCTTGTCTTTGGCCATGAGCATCATGGACTCATGCACGACACCTACGTTGTATTGTCCACGCGGATCAAGACACTTTTGTATCGAACCTTGCACGAAGGCAAACTTGTCTGCGTACGGATACGCAATGAAGGCGTCGTCTGATGCCAGCGCGGGATGGCCGGGTTGCAGCTCAAAGTGCGCGAGGAGCTAATTGCGTTGATATATTGATGTATCGATACAAGAAAACGGTACCAGCGACGCTTGACGGTCGAGCTTGGGAATGTCATCAAAGCCATAGACAAAGCGGGGCAGCAGCAGCGGCTCGTGTGGGAACCGGCGCAGCCAACACAGATGCAGCATCGTGCTGAACGATGTGCGGATCGTGTGCGGCAAGCCCGGGTTGGCCACGGCGCTGAGCAGCATGTTGTAGCTGAACTGCGCCGATAAGATCTAGATAGTCGATAGATGAAAATAAGCAAAAATGTAAAATCAAACAAAAATCAAACACAAAAACAGACCTCGAGGGACGTCGCGCAGTGGCCACGCAAGAGCTCCGCGAATAACATGAGCTGCAGGTTGTAGTAGTTGGCCAGCGTTCTGAGGCGCTCGAAGCCTTCGAGTCGCTCGTGGTCCTTTTGGATCTCAGCCCACTCGGTCGCCCACACTTTTCCGTTGAAAAGGAGTGGGAACATGTCGTCGGGCTGGAGCGTCCACACCACGTGCTCGAGGAGAATCCATTCGCGATGACTGGCGTTCACGAGCTGGTCGTACTGCGCGAGGTCGTTGCTCACGGCGGCGTCGACGACCGGCGTCAAGTGGAGCTCGGCGGGCGTGAAGAAGAGCCCACTGCTCGCGTTTAAGTCCCAGTTCAGCGCGGCCTTCCAGCTCACAACGATGTTGACGTAGCCTTTGCTGAGCATTTCGTAGCCGACGGGGTGTCCGTTGTGCGCGAAGCTACTCGCGCCGCTCGGTGCGCTCACGACAAAGTCCTTTCTACGCCACATATCACGTTGATATTCAACAACAGAGTATAGAGATCGTACACGGCAGGCGAGACGGGCCGGACGGGGTTGGGGCACGCGGCCGCTTCAATCAGAATGCTGTAGCGTGTCGTTTGCAACTCGGGCTGCAGCGTGAGACTGTAGAGCGCGCGCACAATCAGCTACACGGACATCTAAATGCACTGGAATAGACAAGAGGCAAAATGTACCTCTTGGTTTTGAGGTAGATTCACATTGTCGCACGCGCAAATGGTCGACAAAAAATGCAATATCCCAAAGGCCTTGACCCCTTTGGCTTGAATGTTGCGACAACTCGACGTGACGAGCGAGAGATCCACCGAGTGCTCGAGGAGCTGCTTGTTGTTGAGAAAGAGACATCGGTACACCGACTTGGAGCCGGTCTCGGACCCAATGTGGCCGAGCGTCTCGCCCATGTACGTGGCCGGCGTCGCCTCACTGTCGTCGAAGGCGCCGTAGTAGTAAGCGGTCGCCGACCGCGTCGCCACGTAGTTTTGTTGACCAAGTTCCCATGCAGCGCAGAGACGAGCACTTTGTTGACGAGTCGGTGCACGCGGAGGACGACTTTCAGCATCGGGTCCGTCGCGAGGTCGTGGCTCGCAATGCGGTTGGTCTTGACAACGCGAAGCATTTCGTAGAGGGTGTCGAGGACCTTGGCCTCCCGCACTTGCTCTTGCCGATGGAAAATCGGGCGGCCGTCCGCGTCCTCGGCACTGCCCCCGTCTTGCAAAAACGTCATCAAGCTCCGGAGCGCAATCAGCGTGTTGCTCAAATACATGTGCGTCACTGGTGCACGCTTCTGAAGCGCCAGCTGCACATCGTCGCGGTACCGACGTAAGTGCTGCACGACGCTCGAGAGGTAGTACGCCTCGTACGTCTCGGTGGCCGACGCTTCGACGAGCCGAAAACAGTCCTTTGTGCATCACTATCAACACCCATGCCGTTTCAAGAGTAATGCGTACTTCGTCGAGGAGCCGCGTGGACGCGACGAAATGGTAGCTCGCCTTGTGCTTGAGTGCGTGGTTGGCTTTGGCGCGGTTCGGGTTGTGCAGCCGATGGGGCCCGCCCTCGCTGAGGTGCGGTGTCTAGAAACACACCATTTTCAACCCGTACCGACTACCGCACGCACCTCGATGCGAAAGGTGAGTTGCGTGCTGTTGGCCGAGCCGAGACTCCCAAATGTCGGACGCAAGCAAAGTTGGCGCGGCCTTCGTCGGCGCTCGCACCGACCAGAGGCACTTCGTGGTGACGGCAGTCCTCAGAGAGTGCGAGATATTGCCCTAGGACACAATGAGATGGTCAATGTAGACGGCACTACTACCTGTGGCGAGGTGGCGGAACCGGTACACGTCGTCAAAATCGGCAACGACGCCACCTTCTTTCGGGTCGAGGCGCTCGAGCACGAAGAGCGACTTGCGCGTCAAGTTCGATGGCGCGGTATAGTTCGAGTCGGGCACGATTTGACGAAGGTACGGCGCTTTCGTGGCATGGGGGTTGGCCGACAACGTCACATACGCCTGTCCTTCGAGGTGGAAAAGTCGGTAGAGCTTGCCAATCTAGGCTCAAGATGGAGCGTTCATAAGTACCTCGTCGATGCTCGTACCTGAAGACTGCGCGACGATGGCGGGGTGCACTCGGTGTACTTTTGCAGCTGCAAGATCGACTCTTTGTAGTTCATATTGATCTCTTTTCGGCCGAGCGCGTCGCGCGGGTACGGCGCTGCGCTCAGATGCAACACGTGACTCGTGTACTTGGCGCGGGCCAAGCACACCTACCCACATTTACATGAGTATTGCCATCAACGCAAGAGAAAATAAGAAAAACAGGATGTACCGAGTCGTGAAAGATGACGTTGCTGCCAATTGACCGCGTCTTGTACCGTGGCAGAAGCGTAAAGTGGGCTTTCGTGGACCCATCGGCCTGCAGCGTGACCTTCATGCTCGTCTTGTCGACATCGGCGAGCGTCTTGGCTTTGGACGTCAGGAATTTGCCCGAAAGCACGTGCTGCAGCTGGATGATCTGGCCGTACACGACGCCTTGGCCGTCGCTTTCGAGGTGGCGGATCGCGGCGGCGTTGGCCTCAGCCTCGGCGGCCGCCTGCTGCTTCAAGATCTCAACCTTATCGAGCGCCTCGTCCTTGATCTTGTGCAGCGCTTTGGCGGCTTCGTACGTCAGCTTGGGCACGACGCGAAAGAGACACCCTTCAAACGTGGCAGCGTGCGATTGGTCGGCACGGAGACAGCCGAGACGCTCGTCCACAAAGCCATCCGAGTGCGCGTAGCCGTCGCCTTGGAAATGGAGGTACACAATGTCACCTTCGTACAGGACCCGCGGCTCGCGCTTCCGGAGCATCCTGTCAACTTGACGACTGGCGCGTTTAGGAGTCGGTTTCGCAGAAAACCTCTTTGTTTAAATATGAGTATCTTCAAGTGCAATATACATACGCAGAGGTTTTGCATTTTAGAGGATATAGCGTCATGTATGCAGGCGTTAACGCGAGCACACGGGTTGGCCTTTCTTCAAAATATCAATTGTTCGAGGTTTACGATCCAACGCGCCACTGCCCGCGACCGTTCGAGCCACTTTAAAAACCCAGCATGGCCGGCCGCAAACGTCTACCAGGTGCGGTCTATGAAGGCGACATCGTCGTCATCAAGATTGACGATCGCGGGCACGTGCATTCGGATGGCTTTGTGGACGAGCGCCTTGGCTGCATTAGCGACGTGGCAGGAGGAAAGATGGACGGGTGCCTCTTCCGCATCACGCCGCCGCTTCAATACGAAGCCCAGAAACGACTTGCAAAGGCACCGAGTACCGTCGGCGAAGGAGCTGAGATACTAGAGCCCCTCGAACAGCAAGCCGCCGTAGAAGCGTTCGCCAACGCCGCCAAGCTCCGAGAGTCCACTACCCGCGGCCAGCTTGTGCACTTTGGCCAACCACTCCAGCTGCAGCACGTCCAGTCTGGCAAATTCATCTCGACCATCTCCAAGACCGTCGCCGAGATGGACAAGGTGTGCATGAGGCTCTCTCTGGTGGCCCACGGGTCTTCCAAATGCCACTTTACGTTGGTGCCATGCTTCAAGACCAAGTCGATTGGCGACACTGTCGGCTATAACGACGCGGTACGCCCAACGCTTGCTACAATGGCACGAAAGAGAGAGTGTCGTAGGTCTGTATTGCCCGCACCAAATCGCCCGCGTCGTTTCTGCACATGAGCTTGCATCCAATCAACATGGATCGACTCGGTCGCCACGAGATCAACCTCCATACGCAAGAGACGATGCTACGCTTGGTGCTGTACGCGTCGCCGCATCTGAAGTCGCATGCGGCATGGGAGGTTTGACAGTCTTCGATTTGAATTGCAGATCTGATATCTTGTAGGCTGGCAAGGTCTACCGCCTCCACCACATTGACGCCAACGCCTTCGTGACCGTATCGGCGAATCGTCACATGGTAAAAGCACCGTACTTACGCCCGTTGGCCGCCAGCACGTCCGTGAGTGCCTCTGAAAACATGTCGTTGAAAGCCCTCTTTGTCCTCGAACGGCAAGACCGTCTGCGAGGCGGTGTGCTCCACGACGTCACCGAGCCCGTTCAGTTCCGGCACCTGCTTTCAGGTACTGCTACTATGCTCTACTCGAGATCGATCAAAACAATCGGCGTGTAGGGCGCTATCTCACTGTTTTGGAGGACGGCACGGTCTCCGTGAGAGAATCACCGCCCTTTGAGATTCTTCCGTGTACGATGAACGAGCAGTCAACACGCGACATCTGTTTTATCCAGGTTGACATCCATTCGTCACGACCTTTAGTCATCTCATAAATCGTTAGGTGTCGGGCCGCGGCTATCGACTGCACCATCCAAGCCGTATCAAGAGCAACCGAGACGGACGTTCGTCGCAGCATTTACAGGCCAGCGAGCAGCTTCATGCGACGCGCCAGCACTCGGACGAAGTAATACATGCCACACATCTATAACCCCAACCCTATCGTGCGCATAGGACGGCTTTCGGCTGCTTCCAGTATCCGCAAGCGAGCTCGCAGAAGCCAAGTTTATAATCAGCGCGGTCGCCTTCCTTCAGGCGTACCGCGGGCTCATCGCATCGGCCATCTCTCGAGGCGCCCCGATGCCGCGGTCTCTGGTCGCTGACGCGCTGGCTGCGCTCAACGCGATGCTGCACTTTTCCTCGATTGGTCACCGCCAAAAGCAAGCGCGGGAAGCCAAGGTCTTGGACGTCCTGTACGAAATGCAGCGCTGCGTTCTTCGTATTGAACCGATTGCGCGCGACATGGCGACCCTTGCGCGGGACGGGTCGTTTCGCGCGCTGCACCGCGTCCATCGGCTCGTCAACCGGGTGCTCGTGTGCCTTTTGACCGACAATGCACACAATAAGAACTATGTGGCCACGCGCACCGCGCAACGCTACTACAACGATGCGACTGCCTCCAGCACCGTGTATGCTCGAGAGACGCTCGGCTACATTGGGTCCGAGACCGGGTCCAAAACCGTGTATGGTACACTGTTTCTCAACGACCCAACGTTGTTGGCGACCGTCGACGCCAGCGTCGTTGCGGCCTGCTGCAAGCGCATTGAAGCCCAAGGCGTCAAGGCCGCGGGCATTCTTCACTTTTTGGCGATTATCTGCGCCTGCGACGGCAAAAGCGTCCCGGCCAATCAAGAGGTGCGATAGTCTCGCCATCCATCAGGAGCTCATCGGTTGCGTAGCTGGTCGTTGACGTGTTGTTTGCAGCGTCGAGCTCGGTGCGCGATCGGCTCTTGATCGAGACGTGCGAGTGCAGCACGCATCGCCGATCGGTGCCGCCAGCCATGTACGCTGTGCATGAAACCATAGCTGTCTTTGATGCGTCTCTAGCAAAACCATGACGGACGCCTTGCCACCGGCGCTGGCGTCCATGACCCCGACCCCACGACCGCTGGGCGCCGACATCCTCCGCGATGGGTTTTCCAACATTGCCATTAGCTGGAAGGCGTATACCGAGTGGCGCGCTGGCGACGCTAGTCTCTTTCTCACGTCGACGGAGCTCGGACTCACGCCGATGGTGGGGGTCGAGAAGCCGCTGGACTTGGCAGCGTACCAAGCGCAACTCACAGACGTCTCATTGCACGCCGCACATGCGAGCGAGGCACCGACTGCGACACCCGTACGAAAAGGGCTGTCGCTGGGACGACTCCTTCTTGCGTCACTGAGTCACAGTTCGTCTATCAACTCGGAGGCCAGTGCTGACTCGTTTGTCGCCGACCGCCCGATTGCTCCGATTGCAGAAGAGTCGATCTCGACCGAGGCGACAATGACGCCGGCGGCCAATGGGAATGTGGTGACGGTAACCCCCAGTCAACGCACAAGCATCCAACTGAGCGATAATGCCAGCAACGCAGAAGGTGTCGATCCAGCCTCGACAACCATGGGCGCCGACGTCGATCTGCAGCCACCACCACCTCGTACGACGACGCTGATATGGCGCTCTCACAGTATATTCCCTTGACATAGCACGACATCTGTCGTCTGGCGACGAATGGGTCGAGCTCGAAGCGGTCGTTTGGACGCTTGACCCGGACAGCGTTTACCACCTCGTCTTTCCTGGGCAAACGTGGGCAGCGACGCTGGCAACGCATCGCAAGGATAAGAACGCGAAAGCGCAGTTCGACTTACTTCACGATCTGGCGCAGTACTATTACCTCAGCTGCTTCTCTTCGTCGAGCTGCTTCGCGGCAGCAACCTCCATGCAGTCAAGGTACGCCTCTGTACTCTGCTGCGTTGTACCTTTATTTTTTTGAGTTTTCAACTATTAAGGTATCAAGACGGGTTGTAGGTGCTCAAGCCGCAGCTAAGCTACACGATGCTGGTGGCCGCCATCGCGAACGAGAAGCTCCCGAATACCGTGCGGATGGCGTTTACCGTCATTATGCACCACTGCTACGTCATGTGCTTTCCACACGACCACATGATCTTTGCCACCAAAGTGCACACGATCGAGTCGATCCCTGCCCTTTCGTCTCGCGCCACCGGGCCCGTGGTACTCGCATCGTCTTCGTACTACCGCCGAACGCTAAAGGATGCGTAGCCACTGCCCCACTTTGAACTACCGCCGACGCACCCTGCCAACGTCTTGTACCCGGCCGACGACATGCGCTCGTACCCGTATGCGATCAAATTTCAGCTCTTGCAAGCGGTGCTCCATGCTGCACTGAGTGCCGTCGCGACGGTCCGCGTCGTCGATGCGACGCTGGCCCAAAACGCGTTTGCGTCGGCCATTCTAGCGATTGTGCACGACCTCCTCCTATGCGGGTTTTACGGGGATTACACGCTCCAAAAGACTCTCGCGCATGTGCTCTTGTGCCTCCTCGACGGCCGCAACACGCTCGACGGTAGCTCGCGCTATGTGCGAAGCGCGCTACACGATGCGATGACCAAAGTCAAGACGCAGATCTGCGACCTCCTCTCGACCATGACGCGGCTCTGGCGCCACGTCGAGTGCGTCCATTTACTGTCCTTTTTCAAAGCCAAGTATGCGCATCCAAAGTCGCGGTTGCTCGCGCAGTCGCGCGCCCAGCGACGTCGGCGCTTGCGGCGGCAATTGGCGGCTATCCTCGACAAGACACCACATTTAGATCTGATTGTGGTCTCGCACCTCTCGCTCAACTACATTTGCATGGACTTGCTCATGTACGAAGATCCGGAACTTGTCCAGGCCGCGCTGACCTTGCACATTGAGACCAACTCGAGGAAAGCGCGCGTATTTGAAGCCGTGCTGCAGTGCTTGGTGCTCGAGTCGAACGAAGCACCGGCGACACGGACCCTCGCGCTGCCGCCGACACAAGTCCTCGACGACGTCCGCGAGCTCCTCCCGACTCTACGGCACCTCGCACACCTCTTCCCGGACGCCCGTCTCTGCGCCGACGTGCGCACGGCAGCGGCATCCGGCGTCCTCGCTGTCGCGCAACTGCTTCTGGAGCAACTGCAGCAACTGCAGACCTACGCGTGTGACAAGCACCGACTGCTCATGGAGCGCTCGAGCAAGCGTGCGTCCACATTCTGGGGTCTCCTCTCGGACGGCCCCGTCGCCGTGCGGTACACGCCCAATGCGACAGGCCAAGCCATTTTGCTTCTTCTGGACGTCCACAAGGTGGCTTTAACGCTCTTGGCGGCACAAATGGTTGCAGACACGTCGGTCCAAGACGCGCAGCGCCAGGTGCAAGCAGAGGCATGCAAGCTCCTCGTGCTCCTATCGACCAAAAATCCGCTGGGGCAGCGACTTTTGTTTGAGAACCTAAAGGTCCTCTGGCGCCTCCTCGGTAGTTGTCTTGCGTCAACTCACATGTTTATTTACGGTATACTGCTACTAGACACGGTGGACGGTGTCGGCGACGTGGTCCTCGCCGTCTTTTTCGAGAATGCGCACCTCTCGCACCGCCTGCCCGCCGAGGCGATCTGGACCATGGGCCGGCTCATCGAGACGCACGCGGCCAAGCTGGACGACGCTGTGAGCGGGCCCAAGGCGTTTGCGACGATTAGCACCATCTTTGACTTCTTCCTGACATTCATGGCTCCCGATGACGTGCCTTTAAAGAAGCATCAGACCGCAGTCCACAACGTCCTCCACCACGCGCAATTTCAACACATTTTACCCGACGCTGCGGCCAGTGTCACTCCCGACGATGACGTCGGCTCGGACGCGATTGTTCAGTCGCTCGATTACCTTGCGTGGCGCACGCGGCTGCAATCGCCCAAAGACCTGCGTGGCGCGTACTTGCAAAAGGTACAAGTTCGCGTGGTGGGCCTCGGACGTCACATCAAGGTAGGTGCTCATTGTGCTCGCGGGACTGGCCGCGGGCAAGAACCGAGGCGTCGCGCTGCACTACCAGAAGAGGTACCCGTTGAATTGGTGTCTCAGCGTCCTCCTCGATGCGAAAATGCCACTCGGCTTCAAGCTCGTCATGCTGCGCTTCTTCACCAATGTCTACCTCCACGGCGACGTCGATCTGCACTTGGGCAGCACCGCCACCGCGGTTCGCAACGTCCTCCTTCAGAGCGCGTCCTTGCTCGTCGACTATGGCTCGAGCGCCGGCCGCCGGTTCCTCTCGACGCCCCGCGAGACCCAATTCGCCAAGCTGCTCGAGACTTATGTGTTTGACGGGCTCCTCGGATTTATCACGGTCTTTTGTACCCAGCACATGCTGGCCCGCCAAGCGGAAGACTCGGACGCCCATGTGCACGAGACCCTCGCCCACGCGCTGGAGCATGTACGCACCAACGTCACCATGACATCGCAACAGACGCTGGTGCGTTGCTCACTTCTTTCAAGCCGTCGGTAGATGTCGCCTTGTAGGCGCTTGACGCCTGTAGCCGCGCACTGCACACCGGCGTCCACCGCCAAGACAAGCCACGCCGCGCGTCCCACGTAGCCGTGACGAGCGAGCATCGTGACGACGACGCGACGGGCCAATTGAGCTTTCACGCGTTCCAGTTGGATATTTTCGAGTCGGACGAAGTCGCGGCGGTCACGGCTGCGGAAGCCAACCGCCTCGTCGTCCTCTGGGCTGAGATTGAGCGCAAGATCGGAAGCAACCAACACAGCTCCAACATGACCACGCGTCTCTTCTACACGCGCGTCATGGCCTTTCTGAGAGCGCAGCCCGCGTCGCGTACGTAATGAGCTGCTGGCATGAGGCGTTGATGTGATATGATGATGCTAGCGTCGGCCGAGCTCGTGCTGCACGTGCTCCACTGCCTCGTCGCGCGCTGCCGCCTTGACGAGGCCGTTAAAAAGCGAATGCTGCTCTCTGAAATCGAAGAGGCCAACGACCGGTGCAGCCACACACAGAGCTTTCTCGCCGCGTACGTCAACCATCGAATGCACAATGACGAGACGGCCATGGCATGTAGATGCGGCGCGCCGCAGCTTGTGCTGACGCTGCTCTCGGGCAACCAGTCGCCGTCCACGATGACACAAGCTCTTCTCTTGGGCTTGGAGCTCGTCCGTGGAGGTAACATCGCAGTCCAGCGCTCGTTTTACGAGAGCTTCAAGTCTGGCGACGAGCAGTACGTCGTCAACGCGAATGGACAATGCTCATCGATGGCCTAGGTTCTTTGCGACGGTCGAGACGATTTTGGGTGCCAATATCGACGCGCTCAAAGAGCGTCGACGCACGTCCAAGATTCGCATCGAAGGTCTTGCGCCCATGAAAAGCAAGCGACGTCGCTCCAGTATACAAGCCGGCTCGGCCATCTTGCTGCCCGAAGCGTACAATAACGCGCTGCACGACACCGATCTCGTGGATGCCGACTTGCTGCTGCAGTTTTTGACGGTTTTGTGTTGTCGACTTGATAGATTGATAAGATTTGCCTAGGCGTTGGTCGCGGGGCACTTTCTTCCGACACAACTGCTCTTGCTCGACCAGCGCGTCGCCTTGGGCCATGCCAATAGTGTCAACATCCTCCATGTGGTCACGACGTATCTGCGTTTGCTTGTCAAGGACGATGTCCAAGTCCGCGACATGACGGCGGCCGACTGCTTGACGCTCTCGCATTGCTGGAAGTTTCTGATCGAGTGCATGCAAGGCCCATGCAGCGCCAACCAAGAGTTTCTCACGACATCGTCCATGGTGGATGCATTCGGAAAGGTGCTCCGCGCCGAAATCGCAGTCTCGACAGACCGCGTCGACGCGCCGCGCCCCGACGACATCAAGAAACTCAAGGCGCTTGCGGTCAAGGCCATGGTGAGTCTCCTCGAAGGCCGGTCCAACGACGACGTGCAAGACCGACTTCGCAGCATCCTCGCGCTGCCGCTGCTGAAAGCCCGTCTCATCGTACAGCTATCGACAATGTGAGCGATCGAGACGACCTTGGTGTAGGCGCTGTACACCCAATTTCACGCCGAGAAGGACTTGCACGTGGACGACACCACGTGGGACGAGCGGTTTTTAGAAGAGGGCGTCAACCTCCTCACGCTCGCCAAAGGCGTCTTTCATGCAGATCGACTCGTGCCGCCGCCGGACCGCGCGACGAGTGCGCCCAAGCGCGCCAACTTTACGAGCCCGATCGAGTTTCAAGCCGCGGCGGCCGCGTACGAGGACGCGATTTTGTACCGCAAAACGTACGCGTTCTTCACGGAAATGCACTGCGCGGTCGAAGTCTACTGGCGCGGGCGCATCGAACTCGTCTTCTTTCCGTTGCCGTCGCACTGCCGCATGCTGCAGTTTCTTAGTGCCAAGAAGCGCGCGCTGCTTCAGTCCATGCGCTACGACTCGAACGACCGCCTCAAGCAATTCATGCGGGCACTCCCGAGTATGAACGAAGAAATGGCGCACGTCGAAGCCCTCAGTCAATTCTGTGTCTACAACGCGCTGCGCCCGTACATTCCGCTCTTCAAGACGTTGAGTTTCCTCCTCGCGATCTTCATGAACCTCATTATCGTACGTCCTTTCAGCCCTTCTTTGGAGACTTTACGAGCACGTGTAGCTCGTCTCGATCGAGCACCAAGAACAAGAGCTTAGCGACTATGTCTACATCCCGAGCAGCAAGCTCGAAACACCCATGTTCCTCTGCGGCTTGTTGCAAATCTTCCTCTCGACCGCCGTCGTTGTCTTTATGCTCGTCATCAGCATTCCGCTCGTCTTCCGACGCCGGCGCAACGCGATGCGCAAGCGCGCGCTAGAAGAGTACAAGCAGCGAAAAGCCTTCTCCGACACCATTGCCGACAGCTCCGAGCTCGACGTGCTCAAAGCGATGGCGGAGCAGCGCGTCCAGCGCTGGACGCAGACGCTTTGTGCGATCTACAGCGCGTACCTTCCGTTCGCCAAATTTATTGTGCTCTTGTACGTGTGCCAGTTTGCGATCGAGCACACGTTCCCGACCTTTCCAGCCTGGACCCTCTGTACGTTGCGACAAAAACTGCATTTTGCTTTCTTGAAAGATTGATACGTGGATTAAATTGTCTCTTTTGTGTAGATACGGTGCTCTTCTTCCCCGTCGTGCGCAGTACACGGACGTACCTCGAGACGAGCGGGTCGCTCCTCGGCCTTCTCTTCACCTTCGCGTACGATGTGCTCGTTGAGAAGCTCACGGCGTTTTACCTTGTGTACCTCTGCACGGCCGTGCTCGCGACGTTTTACCACCCGGTTTTTTACTTTTACCACTTGTTGGACCTCGTCATTATGAACCCGTCGCTGCAAAACGTGGTGCTGGCCGTGACGACGCCGGCGCGGCTCCTCGGCCTCACGGCGCTCCTCTGCTTGTGCATTTGCTACTTTTACGCCATGGGTCTCTTCTTCTTTGGGCCTGCCAACCTCACCGACGTCGACCGCGCGATTCCATACTGCGCGACCTTGCTCGACTGCTTTGTTACCGTGCTGCACCGCGGGCTCGCGGGCGACGGCGGCATTGGCAGCTTCATGTCCAACGCACTGCAGCACCCGCCCAACTTTTTCAATCGAGACCAATACTGGTGGCGCTTTGTGTTTGACGTGACGTTTTTCGCGCTTAAAGTCGTTTTACTCAACATGGTGTTTGGCATCACGATCGACACGTTTGGCGATCTGCGCACGCAAGCCGCGCGCAAGGACGATGTGCGGCGCAACGTCTGCTTCATCTGCGGCCTCGGACGCGACGTCTTCAACGCGCACTACCTCGCATCCAGCGGTCTCAACAACGGCTTCGAGAAGCACATTGCCGACGACCACAACATGTAGATTGTCTTATTGTCTTCTTTTTGTAGACCGTATATGTAGGTGGTCGTACCTCTACTTTATGGTGCACGTCGAATCGCTGGACGCGACCGAGTGCACTGGCCCCGAGGCGTACGTCAAGGCGTTGCTTCTCAAGCACGACGTCGCGTGGTTTCCCCAAGGGATGGCCAAGTGCCTTGCGCCAACGACGACGACGTCCGTCGCACACGACATGGACGACGTCAAGAACGCAGTGAAGACCCTCTTTGCAATGTACAGAATGACTTGTCCAATGTACATAATGGATCGTGTCTAGGCCGACGTCGCGCTGCAAAAGTTTCATCTGCGCCGCGACCGCCGCAACTCGATGCGCTCCGTGTAGCCACATCACATCGCCGAGGACTTGGCAGAAAAACGGCGACAATAATGTCCTTGCTATTGGGTTCCATACATTGTTGATAGAACGAAAGATTCAACAAAACCTTGAATCGCATCTTGCAGCATCATTTTATATAGTTTGCTGTGTAATCATGCATCGTACCTCCTCAAGCGAGCACGAGGTTGGCCGTGAGGAGCTGCACCGGCATGACATCAAGGCCCAGCACAACGTACTTTTCGTCGACCGAGACGGCGACGCTGGCAACGCCGACAGTCGTGAGAGCTTGGACGACGGCCAGCGTGTGCACCGCCAAGACGGACGCACCAAGAGGGCCGCTCACAATGACATGCCCCGTGCGCTCGAGGAGGACCAGCCGCGTCGTCGCATACGCCGGCGTCACCTGCGCGAGCATGGTGCCGTCGGCGCCAAACGTACTCAAGCAGTGGTGGGCGTCGTCGTTGCTGCTACCGGCAACGACAACGATCCCGAGGCGCGAGATGCCGACGGTGCGCACGCGTGTCATGCATGCTGGCAGTGGCAGTTGCCGCACCACCGTACCAGAGCTCAATCGATGCACGAGGCAAATGTCACTGCAGCTCACGGCAACGTCCAAATCGTCGCAGACGACGACGGCAACGATCGGTGTCCGGTGGCCCAACAAGACGGCCGACGGACTCCAGTCGGGCTCGACCACGGCGCGCTTGGTCGTCGACCGAAACATACTCAGCGAAAAGTCGAGCAGCACCGAGGGAGACGCACTCGCCGACGCCAGCGTCCAGACACTCAGCGTGCCGTCGGCGCTGCCACACACGAGGTAGCGACGCGGCGCCCGTGCTATGCACGTGACGCGCTCGGCGTGGTGGAGAATCGCACTGTGGAAGCTGCCGTCGTTGGCCGTGTACACGCGCACCGACCCATCGAGGTGGCCGCCCGAGACAACGAAGTTGCCAGCCTCCAAGACCGCCGTCCAGATAGGTGACAGCCACGCGTCGGCCGCCAAGAGCCGCCGCGGCTTGCGTTCCAGGACCTCGACGACGCTGGCGTCACAAGCCGAGCTGTTGGTGCGGCTGAGGGAAAGTGGCGACAAGGTGCGCGCGGGCGATGCCGACGTTGGCTGTGCCGGACCTTGGAACGGCGACCGAAGCTGCTGGACGGACGCAAACCCAGCCGCGTCAAGACAAAAGAGCGTCGACTGGAGAGCTTCCAGCACGGTAATCGGGGCCATATGGGGCAAGAGCACGGGCGAGACGACGGCGAGGGACGCATCCGGGACGAGGTTGCGGCGCGGGTGCGGCTCCTTGAGCAGCTGCGTCGGCGTCTGGCCAAAGTGCGCGATTTGCGCGCGCATCGACGCCTGCAAGACCGGGTCGTCGATCGAGTCAATGTCGACGCTGCCTTCGTACGTCAAGTAGAAAAACACATTGTGTGCTGCGACCGCTGCGGGCCCCGCTGCTTGGCACCAAACACCAAGTCGATCCACTCGTGCAGATGCGCCGAGACGTACTCGCTCTCGAGTGCCTACTCCAGCATCGCTACCACGTGCATGCAATCTTAGCACCGTACCAGCATGTGTTGAAAGACGAAATCGTCGGCCGACGACGCATATGGCGGCAAGACGACGTCGCCGAGCACGGTCCCGTTCTGGCACGTCCCGAGGTCGACGCCATTCGCGTTGCGTAGAAACGCGGGCTGGTAAAACCACTCGGGCGTGAGCTCCTTGAGGTCCGACGTGTCGCTGAGGCAGTTGGCCCACGTCTCGGCAATCGAGTGGAAGAGCCGGTCGGCGTGATCGAGACGCCCGCCTTGTACGCGTTTGGCCAGCGTTGTGAACGGCTCGAGGCGCAAGAGGTAGTAGAGCACAGCGCCAACGTGCGAGTAGTGCGACCCATACCTACGCGTGTTGTTCCATCATCCGTCTCGTCCCTATCCATGACAATAGCTATCTATGTACATACATAAACTTGGGAATGTCCGGGTCGTCAAAGGCGTTGTAGCGCTCGAGGTAAAAGCTGAGGCGGCTCGGGTTGAGCGCGCCAAGAGGTTTCGAGAGATCGCGAAACGTCTCCCGCCGGCTCAAGTCGAGCGTGCGCGACGTATAGTCGGCGAGGACCCACGGAAACACGGGGTACTGCGTCACGTCATTGTACGTCCGTCCCGCGAGCGTGTTGAGCCACATGAGGTACTCGAACGTCGAAATCTCGTGGTTGACCCACGCACTGGTCTGCGCCGACGTCTTGAACATGTGCGACGGGTGGCGGAGCCGTCGCCACTCTGGGTCGCGAAAGAGCTGCGCCGGTCGCTTGGTCATCATGGCGCGATGAAGGTCGTGGACCGACGTCGGAGGGCACACATGAAACAGATAGTTCTTCCGGCTCGAGAGCACGAAAATTTCAAGCGCCGTGACTTGGAGAAGGTAGCGCCGGCCGTACACGTGCTTGATGTCGTCAAGCAAGAGGCGGTGCACCTTGCGCCCGAGACGACTGCTCTCGGCGCCCAGCATCTCGGCGCCGCCATGCTCGTCCACAATAGCGGTCGCGACAAACAAGAGCTCTCTGTCCGTCACGCGGAGGTCGCCGGCGACAATGTGGGCGTCGCAGATCCACTGCGCCTTGCAGACAAAGTCTTGCGCCTTGAAGAGCTTCATGTGCGCATCGAGTGACGACCGGCGCCGGTGCAAGTTGCTGCTGCGGGTACCGTCGTGACGGCTCTTGGGGACCACGGTCGCCAGCACGGACCGCGCTTCTTCCGACAGCGTGTCCTTGACGAGCCGCAAGTGGTCGACCTGCATGTCGAGGGCCGCTTTCGCGCCCTGGACCTTTTCAGTCAGCTGGTCCTGGAGAAGCTCGACCGACTCGGAGAGCTGTTCAACGCGGGCGCTAAATGCACTCCGCGGTGTCGTCGTTGTGGGCCGTGCCGGCTCGGCACTCGGCGGCGGCGACTCCCACGACGGACCTTCATACCCACTCACGTCGTCGGCGTCGTCGGCGTCTTCAATCGTACTCGACGTGGCCGTTCGTAGCACGGCGCGGACGTTGGCGTCGGCGAGCATGTCCGTGAGCTCCTCAAACGACGCGCCGTCGCTCCGCCAACTCGCGTCCAATGCATGATGGGGCTCGCTCGCCCGCATGTCTGCCTCCAGTGGCAACAACGTCGCATTCATTGGTTTCAGGCACAGACGCATGCGCAGGCCATTCTCCGCGCGCCGCAGCTTGCGTCGATGGGTCGTTGGTGCCGGCAGCGGCTTGCGGTGTAGCAGAAGGCGCAGACACAAACTCGATTGGAGAAACGCTTCCGTCGTCGCCGTCACATCGGCACGTAGGCGGTCGAGAACATCCGCGATCGGGTACAAAAGCACCGCGTCGTCATCACTCCAAAGCGTCTCGTACACAGCCGCCACGTCATCGAGGTGGCCTTGCTGCAAGCTCGCGCGAACGTCGGCGTCTTGCACGAGCAATACCGCGTTAAACACCGACGACGACGCCACGTGGGTGTCCCAAAGTGCGTTAAACGCAGTCACGTGCTGATTTGTGTCGACCGACGTGTCGAGCGCCGTCATGGCCGATGCGAGGTCACATGGCATTGGCAACTCGACCGACTGGAGGCGTTCGAGGAGCGGCGTCGTTGCAATGTACCCCGGGTCACGCGCCAGCGTGTGCAGCCACTTCAACAGCGGCGGCGACGGCGCCGTCTCCAGCCACTCGACAAGCCCACGAAGGAGACGCCACTGCAAGCGAGCACTCCACGCCATGTCGATACTCAGTGACCGCGCGCGGCGGAGACTCTCGAGCGTCGTCTTGTCGTCGTCGTCGGGCAGCGGCGGGTGCAAGATGACGTCAGTCGTCCGCTGCAGCACCGAGACGTCGACGCCGTCGACCTGACGAGTCGCGTACGTAAACACAGCTTCGATCGCCAATGCTTGTGCGATCGCGAGTGGCGCAAAGAGGCGGTGCACGAGCGCCTCGCCGGGCGTCTCGGGTGTCTCGAGATGCAGCAGCGCGGCCGCATCCCGCCACGGCACTTGGTTCAAATGCGGCGCGACGAGCGCCCAGAGCTGCATCGTTGCTTTGCCGAGCGGTTGGAGCTGGTCGTTCGGCAGCAGCAGGCGGCGTGTCCACACCGTGGCGATCGACGCTACTTGGCTGAGGTTTTCCCACGCATTGTACGGCATCACAACCGACTCTTGGACGATGGCCAGCAGCACTTGCAGTTGGTGCGACGGCGACGGGAGGTAAAAGAGCGCCTCGAGCACATGCATCCAGCCGTGGCGAACGTGGCGCGCCGCGTAGAGCAGCACGGTCTGGACAATGCGAAGTCGCAGACGCGTCGCGACCACCGACACGTGCGACGGCAACTCGGCCAGCACGGCGTGGACGATGGCATCTTGCACCGGCATCGGGGTGCGTGGCGAGGCCAAGGCCGTGAGCAGGTGGTCGGCGCCGACCTTGTCCTTGGACGACGCAATCGCGCGCACCATGTCGATCCGCGCAGACACGGACGCCGCGTCATCGACCAGCACCATGCAATAGTCGTTGAGCATATCCGGGTCCATACGCGACGACGTCGGCGGTGACGGCAGCGCGTCCGAGTCGGTGGCGGCAAGCACGGCGAGCCACTCAGGGTAGGATCGAATCGTTTCCAGGAGCATATCGGCACCGTGCAGCGCCTTGGCGACTGCGTGCAACACGTAGAGCTGGACCGAAGGCGAGGACGTCGGGAGGAGCTTGAGCAAGACGACTGGAACGCAGGCGAAGCGTGGCGTTGGCATCGACCGACTGCAGTTGGCATCGAGACGACCGAGGCAGAGGTCCACGAGCACCTCGGCGTCCGGTACAGACAGCGACTGGTCTTGCAAGCTCGCCGACAAGAGCACGGCGTCGGCATACCTACATCATATATAAGCCCACATGTCGTTAGACAAGTCTTGTTGGTATCATACCGAAGTGGGAGCGTGAGCATCATCGTCTCAAAGGTTTGTAACAGCAAAAGGCGAATGGCGGCCAGTGGGGTTCGAAGCCACTTGTACCAGACGCACGGTGGCGTCCATTTGAGCAGTTGCCGGAGCACCCGGTTCATCGGCGGTGGCGACGATGGCCCCGACGGTTTAATTTCGTTGCCCAGTCCACGCGCCAAGAAACGGAGGATCTCGACCACGTCCGCGTCGGCGGCCGTGAGATGCGCGAGCCGGTCATCCAAGTACACGACCAGCTGCAAGAACGGGTCGGTGGCGACCGGGTTTTTCGGGAAGAGACGAGGCTCCACGTGGCACTCGAGCACGAGCTTGCAGCACAGACGTGCTTCGTCCAGTGTGAGACTCGTGGACGTAGCATACCACCGCCGAAGGACGCCGCACCAGTAGCTCACGTCGACGACCGTGTAGTCGCCGCCTTGGGCCGTCTCGAGGAGCTCGCGGTACGCTGGCAGCGTCTCCGAAAACAAGG